TTTAAAACTAATTTTATCAAAATTCTGACAACCAACACAAAAATGCTAACTCAATAGCAGCTTTCAATGGGTACAGTAAACGGTACACACCATATATTCTAATTTCAAAAACCTCTTCTTTCTTACTATGAAGATAATAAAATTCAGAACAGGACAGTGTAAAAGAAAAAGTAAATAAGAAACAATGGATAGGGCCGGGGGGTGGTGGCGCATGCCTTTAATCCCAGCACTCGGGAGGCAGAGGCAGGCGGATCTCTGTGAGTTTGAGGCCAGCCTGGTCTACAAGAGCTAGTTCCAGGACAGGCACCAAAGCTACAGAGAAACCCTGTCTCGAAAAACCAAAAAAAAAAAAAAAAAGAAAGAAAGAAACAATGGATAACAATATATAAAATTTTAGTTCCAATGCTAATCAGAATTTTATTAATGATGCTGAATACTAAGGATAAATATCCTATTAATGTTATTGTCTAGCAAATTTCCTATGACATGGTATCCATGGTATCCTCCAGTATTATTCTTACATGTAATAATTTTACCAGAAAGTTTAGTGCTATTTAGTAATTGTCTACACATATTTCTCATGGGAAGGAGTAGATGAGGTTAATTTGACAGATTCCTCAAAGGTAGGAAAGGACGGAGGTTAATTATACCAATTTGCAAATAAAATACACATTTGAACTAAAAACCTAGAGTATATAAAAGAATATCTGGCAATAGATAAATCTTAAGCATACAAAACAATCAATTGCAAGTTGTCATTTAAAGATTCATTTAAAAACTAGATTATATTTAACTGCACCTTGGCACTTAAAAGGTATTCTGATAATAAAATGTGTTACAGTAACCACTTAAGAAACCAATTACACTCTTCACAGTGAAGCTACTTTGAACTGTGTAAATAAGAAAGTAACAAATCAAGACACAGAGGTCTGCAAAGAAAAGAAATTGGTTGACAGGAAGTGACTTTTATTAAGATATTAACATAACTAATTTATTTTATAGAAGGATTTAATAGAATGAATTCTAGTTTGATAACAGAAAGAAAATGAAATATTATGGTAGATGATAAAGTAATGAGTTGATTATGCAAAATAAATAATACATTTTATGCCAAATAAGTGATACATTAAAACCAGTTTGCACACAATTTAATGAAGATGTTCAATTTAAAGTAACATAAAACCTAATATCTCATAAACTACTATATAAGACAATAGGCATTATTATGAGTAACTGAAATGTGTGATACTGTTTAATTTCAATGTCTTATAGTTTCCCCTTCTAAAAGATACTATTTCATGTGCTTTGTTTCAGAATACCAATTCTGGAGAACCCCAATATTGTTCTTGTAGGTTATTATAAGAATTATTTGCTCATTAATATGTTAAACATATTGCCAATATAATTAATTTCTAGAGTCTAGTAACACCTTGTGACTATATGAATAATATATGGGAAATAGAGGAAACACTGCTATTTGAGGTCTCAGTTTTCAATATTTTGAGTTTAAGGGATTATAAGATAAATAACTTTTCCCTTGAAAAGGGAGAATAGAATAGGGAAGAATAATGATAACTGAACAGGTAAGAATGGAGGAGAAATAGCTAAGTGAGCAGAAATGCACATAGTGAAGGAGAGCAAAAGAATTAGAAAGGAAAGCCAAAAATCTAGGACAAAATTTATCTAGAAAACTGGGGGGAAATATATTTAATGTTAAACAGAATCATGATATATATGGCACTAAACGATATCCAGGAAAAAGGTTAGAGCTCAAAGGGACAAAAGGGAATGAACATTAATATATTCTGATTATGTTGACTTCTCCCCCTTTCAACAATGAGCTCTTATTTTAGGCTTGAAGAACAAAAAGTTGAGGCCACAGTCAGAAATGAGAAGCTATGTTGAGAATCAGAGAGGTACAGCCGGAAATAGAATGAAGTTCCCAAGTTAAATCAATAGCCCTTCAGGCTGTTCTCTCCCCTCATCCCCTTCACTATGATTTCCAGGTCTTACTCAGTAATATTCACCATCTTGAAAGTAAAAAAAGACACTACCATATAATGCTTATCTTCCATCTCTCAGTAATCAGTGATCTAACAACACTACTTGTGCAGTCTGTCTTCTTGACATCTCACCCTGGTTAATCTGTTTAGGTAGTTTTTATAACCAAATCTATTTGACCATGTTTACCAAAATATTCAAGAAGTGCTAGAAAACCTTTCACAATCACAATGGATATGTTTTAATGTTAACACAAAATAGAGGGAAATTTTCCAAAAGCCATACTCAATCACCATACATATGCCCTTCTTTGAAATGATATGCCCAAGAAGAAAGTGCCTGCTTTTAGTATAGATTAAATACTCAGAACACTTTCTCTCACACAGAAAAACTAACCTGTAATATAGCAGATTCGTTATGGGTAGGCCCAGATGTTTTTTAAAAATCACTACAGTTTCATCAGTACAAAACATGTTTAAACTCCATCATGAGGGCAGAGTTGCTGGTTCAAATTATGCCAAGGTGGTAGAAAGATGGAGGGAATGAGAGAGAGAGGAGGGGGGAGGTAGGGAGAGAGAGGGAAGAGAGAGAGGAGAGAGAGAGAGAGAGAGAGAGAGAATGAATGAATGAATCTGGGGTGTTTTCAGCAGCCTTTGATGAGTTGATCTTCACTGGCAAGGAAGACATGAATAGGAATCATTCTGCTTTGCTTGGATGTTCATTATTTTTTTCTTCTTCCTATCTGGAAGCCAGTTTCTCAGCCACAGAAGTATGTTGATGTGAAAAGTTTAGAAGCAACATGAAAATGGACATGTAACTTCAGTTTCGTTTAAGTAACTATATATATATATATATATATATATATATATATATAGTTATATATATATATAGTTATATATATTTAAATAAAAGAACATAGGAAAATCATACATTATCTATTGGACATGAAGAGGTAAGACAGGTAAAAAAGTCAATTGCTATTGAGTATATGAACCATATCAGCCATTTAAAACAATGGCATTCAGGCCAGGCAGTGGTGGCGCTTAATCCCATCTGTTGGGAGGCAAAGGAAGGTAGATCTCTGGGAGTTCGAGGCCAGCCTGGTCTAAAGAATGAGTTCCAAAACAGGTTCCAAAAATAAACAGAGAAACCCTGGCCCAAAAAATCAAAAATAAACAAATAAAAATAAAACAATGTCATTCAAAACTTCCTGTTATTAATTCATCTTTCATTGACCCTCATGGGAATATTTAAAATAGTTTTTCAATGAAATTTATATAAAGAAAATGAGTAGATTTTTATATTGTACAATATTACCTGCAGTAGAAAGATTTTAAAACTACAGAAAACTACCGTGACATGATATTTGTGTTTACAGTTATATATTAAAATTTCATTTACAGTTAATGTTTCTAGAAAAGGTAAGCTACTCTAGTAATATTAGCCACTTAAATCCATGATTACAATTGAGAGCAAAAACCAGAACTAAGTTTCCCGAATCCTTATTTTATACAGTTTACAAAAATTTTAAATTATTCCAGTGATGAAAATGTGTATGCACATCCTCAGCATTTAAATGTCACCAATTCGTGCAGATTTTATTAGTTCATCTATAAACTTTTAGACTTTGATATTTATTTCATGAATGTCAGATCTGTTCCATAAAGAGTACTCTTTAAACAATCTTCCTTTGCACTAGAGACTAACTTGCAACTTTAATTTGATCAAGTAGAAACTCATGTCAAAAATATGCAATGGGGTCTACATGTTAAAATCTCTTGCAGAGAAGGAAGCAATACGAACAGAACAGAAGGAAAAGCTACTGATGTACTGGAATAGTTGGTTGCTTTATCCCCTTGCCCAAATTCTCACACTATGGGCCCAGAATTTTTCAAAAGGACAAGTGGAAAGAATTATTTTTCTCATGAGAAAATGATGTCATCAGGACTTTTGCTCTAATGAGAAAATGATGTCATTGGCAGAAAGCCCTTGTGCATTCCCAGAACTCTGTTGTTCAGTACCAGCCACACACTAACACATCACATTTTTAAAAGAGTCTATCCACTTTTATATCAGGTAGATAATGAACTCACTGAGAAACATTTTTAACTTTTATGATCATTTGGAGCCGTTCTAAACGTCCCTCAAGAAAAAACAGTTTTCCCAAATTTTCTTCTTTCTTTAGGGTACGTAGAAGCAAATTTAGCTCAATGGTATGAACAAGAAAGAATTACCCACTCTAACGTTACTAAACTATATGCAGGATATCTATTTCTTAAATTCCCATATTTTCAAAAAGGATTATTAAAATGATAATCTAAGAATATTTTATTTTCAAATTTTGGCAACAGATCTAATGTTTGCCAAAGAGGGTGAATAAACTGCACCATTTGAGGCATATAAAATAAACAGAAATCAATACTATGTATTTCTACATCTTTGAAAATCTATCACATCTGAGATAGGCATTAAATGCCACTGGCATTCATATTTCTCTGAACAGATCGGTGAGCCTCATCGAGTAAGAAAGCTTTGTGAACATATTTAATTTAGTATATTATTTTTAGAACTAAACCTCTTGGAAAACTAAGAGCCAAATCAGCTACTGAGGATTATAATTTTTATTAAAATGTGCATTTAAATTATGACCAAATTTTCTACATATTAATGAATAAGTCAATGTTACAACAGATAAATAAATGCATATATAACCATTAACTTTATCTAGTAGCTAATTCACAAATTTATAAAAATGAAAAAAATTTAAGTTCTACCAGAAAATGTCAAATTTATAAGCACAATATACCCTCATTTTTCAAAAATCCATGTCTTACATTCCATAAAACAATTTGGAAGAGTAATTACTCAGTTACGTTTTTTAAAGTTCTTCAGTTATCTTTTATAAAATACTGGCCTTTAATTTCACTGGTATCATTTTAAAGTTTTCGCAAATCTTTAAATTAGTTTCTCCCACTGACTCTTAAGGTAATTATACATACCACAGTCTGATGATTAACTTGAATCACTTCATCCCCAGCATGGATTTTCTTGCATCGATCTGCAGGTGACTGAATTTAACATAAAAGAAATGATAACACAAGGTTTATCAGCTTTTTTCTTTCTCTGGGAACATCACAGCAATCCACCTCTTTAATTAGATTTAAAAATAAAATCATAACTTTTAAGTAATTATTATATATATATAATGTGTTTACTCATAGCTAACATACAGTTTGCATTCTGACAATATAAATGAAAGTCAGCTGGGCGGTGGTGGAGCACACCTTTAATCCCAGCACTTGGGAGGCAGAGGCAGGCGGATCTCTGTGAGTTCGAAGCCAGCCTGGTCTATGAGAGCTAGTTCCAGGACAGGCACCAAAGCTACAGAGAAACCCTGTCTCGAAAAACCAAAAAGAAAGTCATACAGAGACTATCTATATTGGAAAACAATAACATCTTTCTGAAAGCATTAAAGGACAATAATAATTGTTACTAAGCTTGGCAAACTTAGTCTAGAAAACCCTGCTAAATACTACTAGGCAACTTGATTGAAAATATATTTCAAACAGGCAAATTAAAAAATATAGAAGAAATAAAAAGCTCTAAGAGAGAAACAGAAGGTTTGGAGTTGCAAACGTGGGTAGGATCTGAGAGGAGATGAGGGAGGGAAATGGTGATCAGAATATACTGTATGAAAAAATATTTTCAATAAAAAATGCAATATATATATATGTATATTTCACAATATTCTGAGTTTTTACTTGTGTCCTTCCCATTTAATATAAATAAACCTCAGTAATGTAAACAAATCATTATTTTCAAGTATATGCATATAATTATCATTAAACTTTGAAGTCAGATAATCAATTTGTAAATTTATTTCACTATTAATAAAATCAACCCTAAATAACAGAGAACAGAAAATTCAAACACAAGCAGCACTTAGGTCAAGACTGTCTTATGTATTATTCTCTCCACATGTCTAATGTCAAGAGCATGCTGTTCCGTTTCATATACTATAATACGATTTGTTGGCAAACTACACTAAATAAAACAAAATATCAACATGTCTATAATACGTAATTTCAATACTTTATTTTTAATATAAAATTCAAAACAAAAATAAATAAAACCAACACAGCAATTTAGTATTTGTGAGTATTAAGTTGTATAAAAGAAACTAAATGAGATTTGTGATAGAATTTTTTTTCTCCAGGTATTATAAATAGATTTTATAGTCTTATTTTCTAGTTACTACCTATTAACAATTCAGAAATCTTCACATGGCAATACACCCTTGTGTACTGTCTATATAGAATAATAAGACATATTAATCTATTAAAATTATTTGCTTGTATTCTGATATTACTCAGTAGTATCTATTAAAAACAGAAAAGAAAAATAATATGGTGACAGAATCCAGAGAATAAAACACTACTTTTGAGTCCCAGGAATGGAATGTTCTTTAAAAGGCATTTTGGGTTATTCTGTGTTTTTGTTTTATGCTTGTGTTTGTTTGTATGTGTGTGCATCTAGGCCACAGGTGGACATCAGGTAGTTGATGTCAAATTGCTTCACCACCTTATTCTTCCTTCTGTGGCGGACCTCTCGACCGGCGAGAAAGAATGACCACCACACCAGGATTCCACTCAGAACACGCTTTTACTGGAGTGCCCTTGATTGATGGGGAGCATGGAATGAGGGGGCGGGAAAACAAGGAACAGGGAGCAGACGGGAGAGGCAGCAGGAAGCGAAGGGACCGGGGTGCACTAAGGCAGCCGCTTAAATAGGGAATTGGCACACGGGTAGCCCTGTGATTGGCTGCCACCAACAGCTGACACCAGACCGCATCGGGATAGGCTCAAGGATCCTCATCCTCTGCGCATGCGGGAAGCGGGGACGCGCAGCTCTCAAAGCCATAGCCAAATATGGAGTTGTTTATAACCAACAAGACAGGATGTCGGCGCCATCTTGTAATGGCGATCCTGTCCGGCTCACTACATCCTTCCTAAAATATATTTATTTATTTCATTTGTATAAGGGCAAGAATGTGTCTTGGTGGCATGTGTAGCAATCAGAGAACAGATTTGGGGAGTGAGTTATTTCCTTCTACCGTGTAGCTTCCAGGGACAGAAAACTGATCATCATTCTGTATACCAAGTGCCTTTACCCACTGATCCATTTTACACGCCCTTTAAAACTTTTATTTTTGCATTTATTTAGTATGTGTGTAGTAGGGGAGAGGGAGGGCATCCACAGGCCATGCCATGGGTATGGAATTCAGCAGAAAACCAAAAGTGTCAGTTCTCTTTATTTACTGCATTGGTTCTAGGGCTCCAACTCAGGTTGTCAGGTGCAGCAGCAAACACCTTTACCTGCAGAGTCCTCTTGGTGACTCCACCCCTTACTTTTGGAGAAAGCTTCTTTAAGTGAAGTAGAGCTCATGGATTAGCCATACTGATGGGTCAGCAAGCCCCAGAGATCTACCTGTCTGCTCCCCAGCTCTGCTGTGCTATCTGCCTATGAGGGTACTGGAGATCCAAAGTCAGGCCCTCGTGTTTGTACTCTAGCACAAACTTAGCCATGTCCTTAGGGCAGCTACTTTTCAAAAATTCATTTCCAATTTTTAATTATTTTGAAAACATAAAAGACTTCATACTATATTACCTCACGGGAACAAAAGTTTTAGCCTACAAAAATTTGCCATAGGCTAAAATTCAAGATTATATTTAAAAAGTATATTATTGAATGAACTAAAAATACTGTTATGGAGGTAGGTTAATCTGAGATATGAACACTATTCTAAAAAAATATCAGTGATCTGAAAATATCTTTAGGTCGTGGCAATATTAGCAATCAGACCAGAGCCATATAACAGTTCTGAACGGATTAGAACGCATAGGGCAATAGTTCCAGTCACTTGTGCCATGGGCTCAAAACTAATATTTTTTTCATAAGATGGCACAGCAGATAAAAATATAACTTACTCACTCTAGTGACCAGCTTTACTAAGATTAAACACAGAACTAGAACTCCGAATTACAAATTATATAGGTAACAAAATAATATAATACTATCAAGAGAAAAGAAGAACCACAGGATGAACTATGAACATATAGCAATCACATGTTCAAACGCTCCTTTTTTGATTTTTTGAGACAGGGTTTCTCCATAGCTTTTGGTTCCTGTCCTGGAACTAGACCAGGCTAGCCTCGAACTCACAGAGATCCGCCTGCCTTTGCCTCCTGAGTGCTGGGATTAAAGGCGTGCACCACCACCGCCCGGCTCAAACGCTCCTTTTATCATTTAGCCATTTACCAAGTTTCACCACGTAAGTAAAGTGTATGAAGCACAGTACTCAGCTGTTACATTCACAAATGTTAGATAACGGAGGGAGAGCCATTCCTACCAGTTCTCCATGACACAGGACAAAAGCACCGTTTCTGTGATTTCTTCTCTGGTTTACTTGACAATACTTATTACATTTTTTCCTTCATGTATCAAGTAAATAGTAACACTTGCTCACATAGTTGAGCCCTACATACTTTGTACTTCTCAAGGAAAACAAAACTAGTTTATCATATATATCCTTCCAATGCTCAATGCCTTGCCTGGATCACAGCACAGACACAGTGGGCTTGTTAAATGAGCGGGGAGTGCAGGAATGATCTAACGAGTGCACGGAAATTAGAGAAGGATGGCAAACACGTAGTGTTTAACGTCTTACTCAAGCTCAAATAGGAAATAATTCACAACGCACATTTTACTGATTTTCATTGATGTTTCATTTTCAACAAGAAACCAAGAAAAGAAGTTAAATCAATAATAATTAGAGTAAATAGGTGAATTAACTACAGAAAATGGTGATTTCAAAGAAGAAAACATTGATAAAACACTGAGATAAATGACAACTGAAATTAACTTAATTCCACCACAGTATTCTTTAAAGAAACACAGCATAAACATTCAATTTGTCTGAATCTCTAAAAGAAAATAAGAACAAAACCAAAGTTCCTAACCTGTTTATGAAAGAAAAGAGAAATATGGGCTAATTAATGACTTTTTATTATTCAATTTCTATTATGCTAATCATGTTAATGATTTATTTAATGCATTTATATTTCTCTTTTTAGAGCATAGCTAGTCACTTCTGTGTGCTACTATCTTTGCTCATTTGAATTTTACAACCTAGTATGTTATGATAATCTTTTCCAATTTATAGTCAAAACACCTGTTAGAATCTTTTCATAAAGGTAGGATGTTCCTAGGATTCTGGATCTGTGATAGAACCTTTGAATTTAAATTTCTAGCAAGCTCTCAAAGTAGACTAATGGACGAATCTCACTGTTAAAACCATTCAGCTACGCCTCTATTTCATTGAGCTGAATTATGCTGCCAGTATACAACAGCCTGACTGATGGGACGTTTCTCACATCACTTAAGTTTCTTAAGATAACTCAATAATTGATGATGGAAGTAGATTATTTTAGTTGTCACAATAACCTAGCATGAACCAGAAAGTACTTAACAAAGATAATTCTCTGGCTTAAAAAGGAAAGCATCAGAATTTCTCTAAGCCACTATTCTAGAGTAAATAAAATGAGTGAAATTCCAATGCATCCAGAATCTACTAATTTAGTAAGTATTTTTAGATGTGTTCTTGGAACCAACATTTAACCTCAATCATGTGAAACACATAAATACTCAAATTGGAAATGTTTTAGTACTTACATTTTCTGTTGTTCCAGTGATTACATGGAGGCCATCATATGTGGATTTAATATACATACCCTAAGAAAAAGAATCAGAAAACGTGAAGCCACAGACATATTTCAGTGAGAGGAAGAAAAAGAAAAATGAAGCAGAATAGTTAACTATATGGAAGGACCAAGAAATGACTAGGTAGTTCTTTTATTCTAAAAAGTCATTTCAAAGTATCATATATAAAAAGTGTAATAGTTCTACAAAATTGTTGAGCCTGGATCTCTAAATGGGAAATGAAATGAATGTAGTTTTAAAAGAAGGCTGTTTATCAGTAAACTCTAGTTTTAAATGGAAGTTCACAGTTTAATAGAATAGTAAATAATAGCCCAAGTAGAAGTATACATGGAAATTAACTGACAAATTGGCTATATTAAGCTTTGGCTATAATAATATGGTAATATTTACCCTGATGCTGGTGAGGGTGTATGACATACACACTTTTGAGTTAATATATATCCCATTATTTCTTGGAAAGTAAATATTATAATATTAAAAATCTTAGGATAGAATGATTGATACTGACACTTCTACCCTAGCTATTTAAAAGATATTATCTAATCAATAAAAGATCTTAAATAGTATTTGTAAGAGGTAAATACTACACTTTTTTTTAAAGTTTTCCATTCAAAGGTTGTGAGTAAATAAAGTGGGAACTGGCAGCAAAATAAATAAAGAAAACATTATTTCAACTAGAACACAATCCTCATCCATAATTATCTATCTATCTATCTATCTATCTATCTATCTATCTATCTATCATCTAGACATCCATCCACCCATCCATCTATCCACCAACCTATTTCCATCATCACTAGTAGCTATTATAATGTGCTTGGGTCTGTTTTAAGTATCTTACACCTATTTTACACAAGTCTTTGTGGTGTAATTCGATTGACACGGTTTTAGAGTTAAGAAAACTAAAGGGCAGAATGCCTGGAGAGTAAGTCTAAGGTGGTAAAGTCAGGTGTCATATCTGAATCCAGATACCCTCTCAATCACAGAACCTCAAACTTTTGGAGTTATTTCCAGCAGAGTTAATGCACTTTTCTTATTAAAACATAACACTTGAATATTGTAAAAATTAAAGCAGAAAATCATTAATTAATCTATATTAATTTTTGGTGATCCCAAGGATCAAGCCACAGGCCTCACTCATGATAGAAAAACTCTCTACCATTGACCTACACTCCTAGCTGTTGAAATCCAGTCTAAAGGTCTAAAAATAACCTTAGCAATATGTAGTATGCATAATGGAGTTGGAAAGTGTATCTAGGTTTGACACTGGATAGTTTACAAATGTATTTCAAAGTCATTTTCTCCAATAATGATAAGTAGAGGTTGATTATTTTACTTTCCACAAATCTTTTAATATTGGGTGTATTGATTATGATTACTGGTATTTAAGAAGAGTTTTATTTTATTTTTTATTTTTTTTATTGAGAAAAGGAAAAAAAAACAAGTTTCCGCCTCCTCCCAGCCTCCCATTTCCCTCCCCCTCCTCCCACCCTTCTCCCCATACTTCCACCCTTCTCCCCCTCCCCCCACTCCTCTCCCCCTCCCTCTCCAGTCCAAAGAGCAGTCAGGGTTCCCTGCCCTGTGGTAAGTCCTAGGTTCTCCCCCCTCCGTCCATATCTAGGAAGGTGAGCATCCAACCTGGTTAGGCTCCCACAAAGCCAGCACATTAAGTAGGATCAAAACCCTGTGCCATTGTCCTTGGCTTCTCATCAGCCCTCAAGAAGAGTTTTAAATGATACTAAAAAGGTTATGGTCACAAAGAAAATCTAGTATACTAATAAAAGTGTTCTGAAAAGAAAATCAAATCCTGGGATGAAAAAAAAATTATGGGAATAATCTATGATTCAGGAATAAATATCTATGTGTAATTATGGCAGAAACTAGAAAATTATTAATTAAATATTTATATAAAGAGAATAGTTGTACAAGCCTTCAGTTCCAGTATTGGGAAGACAGAGGTCAGCCTGGTCTACATATTGAGTTCCAAAACAGACTGGAACAGTGAGATCCTGATTAAGATTGGGTATAGATATATACATAGAGTTCAACTCTAAAGTTATTTCATAATCATGAACCAAGGGTTAGAAAGCACGATTTTAAAATGGCACATGAATAAAGATTATTTATGTATTATTTCTAATCAATAAATTATTTGCAACAACTGCTTTAAATAATGGAAAATAGATTTATTTATCCTTTAATCTATCTTTAGTAGTACCAATTAGAAAAAAATGCCCCAAAGTAAATCAACAAAAGAAAGAGAAGAAGCAAATTGTTTGGATGAATTTGAAATTAATCATATTTTCAATGATGAAGAGTTCACAGAAAATACACCTCATTATTGCTTCTCTCTGAGAAAGCGCCAAATAGCAGGATGATATATCATTCAAATAACATTGTTTTTCTGGAAATGCAATGAATATTTGCCTTATATTTCTTTTCTTTTCTTTTCTTTTTTTTTTTTTTTTTTGGTTTTTCGAGACAGGGTTTCTCTGTGGTTTTGGAGCCTGTCCTGGAACTAGCTCTTGTAGACCAGGCCGGTCTCGAACTCACAGAGATCCGCCTGCCTCTGCCTCCCAAGTGCTGGGATTAAAGGCGTGAAAACCATCTTTTTTTTTCCTTTTGGGCAACAATTAATTCTGGTGTTGACTTAACAGCTCCCTTTACCATGCTCAGTTTGCTAGCTAAAATGATGTTTGTTCCACTTCATCTCCAAATGCCAGTTATGCAGTAGCAGTCAGAGCAGCCTTACTGTCAAGATGGTACAATAACGCAGTTTTACAAGTTTGGAGGTAGCTCAAGCACCTCACAAGAGGAAGAAGCCTGAAGCCATGCTTCCAGAATGACGCCTTGAGGCCCCTACCCTCTATTCAACTCATAATCTCTTATCTATCACTCAGCTTTTAAATGCTCTAATAGATCTCATTTCCACATCTTTTAATTTTCTGCTAATCGTTGTTTTTTAAAGGCAAATCACATGGCCATGGCTTAATTACAACTAGGCACACGTGTTTGCAGTCTCTCCCCGTATTTGCCTTTTAGACATATCACATGGTTAAGAACTTACCAAATGCTGGTCACATTCTCAAACTGATCTATTTTAAACATGATCTATGAAGGTTACTTAAAAGTGAGTGCATTTAAAAAAGCATCTTAAGTAAGTCATGTAAAGCCTCTAATCTGCAAACTTGATAAGACTCATAAGAAAGAAGTTCACCCTTAATTCTTTCAATTAATACTCAATATTTTAGGTTTTTATTTCTCTCCCTGTGAAATAGCAACTCAGTTGAAGTATTGCCCACTGTCCTTTAAAAATGAGGTTCTTTAAGAAAAATTCAAACTCAAATTTAAGATTATTCTCTTAAGCTGCCTTTATCTCCCTTTAGCTATTCCAAATTTGGATATAAGATATTGAAAAAGTATTTGCCAGATACGTTTTGTTTAGATTTATGTCCTGCCTCTACTGGTTATTATTTAATGAAAGACAATCAGTAAAATTTTTGGTTCTCTTCTTACTTGCAAAATGAGAAAATTAATACTTATTCTATATGTTGTGAGGAAAATAAAAGGCAAAAAGAAAGAACTTCTAATACTTATTCTAATTTCTATTTTTTTCCTTTTCTCTGATATTTTCCAACCTATTTAAATTTTTGGTTATCGCTACTTTAAATTTATGTCCATTCTAAAAAGAAGATACAGACCGACCTCACTTTAAAACAATTTCTCCAGGGCTGTATGTTCATAGAGAAAACAAATTGTTCATAAAGTTCATGAACAATAAAGTAAATTGAGTTTTAGCTCACTTCACATGCTTAGTGTTCCCGTGATTTTAATGCCAATTAAAAGGAAAAATAGGTGCTTTTCTTCAAACACTACTATTAGAATCACAGAGTCATAAAACTCAAAGAACATCTAAAGATGATCTACTCCTGCCCCTATATTTTCTCTGTGATAAAATCAAGGCCACAGAAGTTAAATTTATTCTCCCACATCCCTAAGACTGCTCTCATATTTTATGTAAATGTTTTTAATCCAGATTCACAAATTCTAAACTAATATAATGTATTAGTTCCTAATTTTCTACTGCACCCATTATGCTAAGATCTTTCATTGACTATACCTGAAAGAGGAGATGGAGAAGGGAAAATATTTAGTATTAAATATTTGAGGGTGTTTTATCTTCAAAAACAAAATTACTTTGGTAAAGATACCAAAAGGAGCACAGACATTCAGGAAGAAGTGACCTATTCATATGTTCAAAAAGTCTATGACATATCTGAGGGTATGGATCCTATCAAACATAGTATGTCTATATGTGTGTACTGTTTTTCTTACACAACCATAATAATGAATTTTTATTTTTAAATAAAATGAGTTAAAAATAACTATTAGTAATATAAAAATTACGATTATATGCTGAAATAATGCGCAAAGTATTATGTATTTTCAGTTTATTGGCTATAGGAATCATTTTCTGGTGTCTTAGCAACATAAATGAACGTTGGGGCTATTTGTAAGTTAAATATGAGTTGATTGAGCACAAGGTCTTGCAGTATTATGACTGTCAATATAATAACCTCAATAGCTATTAAGTAGTTAGTGAGTGGGTATCATAGATAGTTCGGCTAAGCTGGACAAAAGGATTACTCATGTCCTAGATGAGTTGGTATGAAATTTTAATCACACTATTCAGAATAGTATGCAATCTAAATTGTCTCTGAAATTTCCATTAATATTTTAGGACTGCTGTAAATGATGTTAGTTGAAGCCACAGAAAGTAAACTTTAAAGGGGAAAATGCTGTAATGAGAATTCTAAATCATAAAGGTTTCTCCATATAAACCTATACATATTAGAAATAAGCTTATAAACAAACTGTAGCAAACTTAGATATAGTACTTATAACTTAGTATGATGTTGTGTAACCAGGATGCTATACTTGATTTTCATCTTTTCAAGAAATCACTTATAAAATCAAAAAATCCAAACTAAAACAAATAAACAAACAAGCAAAAAAATCTAGAAATGATGGATAACCAGAATCAATTTGTCAACTAGCAGGAAAGAAGTTACTGTATAGAATGCATGAATGGCTTCAAACTAAATATCACTGGTGGTTAATAAAGGCTTTCTCCCCAAAATAGTTACAAACATAACTATACAAACACACACATGTGTGTGAAAAAGCACATAAAAAGTTAAAATTTCCTCAGAGATCATTAAGAATATGTTTGCTTCCAAGATTTCTATTTTCCAGAACATCGTTATCTATGGGGAGAAAGTTTATAACACCAAAGGATGAAATTAACATTTAATAAGTGGTAATGCTTACCAGCCAGTTTCTGCTTAGTGTGTCTGTGCCTTTCTCGTTTATATCAATTTTATATAATTGCTTTCTACAGTTATATTTAAAAAGCTCTCCTTTGAGTTAAACTTATAATCAAGATGTTTTTAACCAGTTGAACAAACTACTAACATTATCAACGCACTTCATGAATATTAACCTAGTGGTAGCACTATCCAGTTGCTCATTCAATTCTTCTAACAAGAGATGTGAAAAATGGCAGAGATGCAATTCATATACATTATAATGTCTGGAGAGATGGCTCAATGGGTAAAGAGCTTGATAAGTAAGTATAAAGACCTGAGTTCGAGTTCCCAACACCCACACAAAATGCCAAACATGGTGAAACTTGCCTGTAACCCCAGAGCTGGAAGAGATAGGAAGTATTGGGGTACCTGCTGGCTAGGCTGACTAGTGAGCTGGTCAGTCTAATAAGCTTTAGGTTTAGTAAGATAATCTTGTCTCAGTAAGGGAGAGAATAACTAAGGAGGGCATTCCATATTAAATCCAGGCCCCACATGTGAATACATAGCCATGCCTGCCCACACACACATAAACACATACACAAACACACATGCACTACACATAGACCCACAAACAAAATATGTGAGTTTTCTCTAATTACTTACTCAAGGGGAAGGAAGATCTATTAAAACCAGGATAAATCATTGTAAAACAAACCCAGAAAATACCTACTTGAATGACAGGTAACACTGTGCTTGTTGCAAAACTCTTAAATGTCCTTAAGATCAGGAATTTTAATTGGTGAAAGAATGCAATCAATGATTACTCAACCAAATAGGATAACTCAGAATTCTCATTTCCTTTTCTCTCTTTTTATTGGTTTGTCTTTTAAAAGTGGTTTCAATGCCACCCTCTTCTACCTTGACCTCTACAGGAGATGAAAAGGAGAGGAGGGTGAGGATCTGTGGAAATTCCTAGACTCCTCTATTCTGAGGCTGCCTTCTTGCCCACATCTTGTGCTGTGTGCTGATGGATGATGGCTTTGATAAACATGGTATCCCTTACCAGCCCTTCACTCGGTTTAATATTTGCCAGCTGAATCACTTCCAGGTGAGCCGACTGTGAAACCAGAGGATCTGATGACAGGGATATGATGTGGTCACACACTCCAGAAAGAGTTTTACACTGGAAGAGGAAAAGAAAAGTTACGGTAAACATATGTTGTAGTAACATACAAGTCACCACTTACTATGATTCTGGAGAGTTTTATTTTCTAGTACATGTTTGTGTGAAAATTAGTGCAGGTCCCTCAGAGCCATCAGCTGGCTCTAGATCTGGCTTACAGGCGATTGAGAACTAGGCAGTGTGAGTACTGGAAACTAAACTTACTCTGATTCACCGAGCCATCTGTCCAGCCCCTAGTATAACTTTCTAAGGAGGGAAACATAAAGTTGAGGAAATGTCAACTGGCATTTCATTTTTTAAAAATCGTATACAAAAGGTCACTAGGAACACATAATACACAAAGGTATCTTTATTTTTAAAGTTAAGGATATATGAACTATATGTCCAGGTGACTAATCCAAGTTATAGTTAATGTATTATTTATATCATTTGATGCATCACATCTAAATTATTAACTAACAATTTTGATAATCTGAGAAACTCTTGATATTGAGGTTTAATTTAATTCAAATTATATTTAACTATATTCTAAATAATATTAAAATCTGGGTTCTTTTATTTAATGATCAGAAAACTTAAAGAAAATGATGCATTTGAAAGATGCATCACTTGTTTGGATAATTCTTTTTGCATTTTTCATGACTTTCTGGATCAAGTTTACCTTTGTATAGAACTTCCTACTTCCATCAGGTGAAACTTGCAACAAGCTCAAACTGTTTCTTCACCCTTCGGTCACCAGTCAGAAATTGACCTTCATTCCGAACCCTGCTGAGCTAGGGAACATTTATATTCCAGTAATTTTTAACTTTTCCCTGTACCCTGCTTACCTACCGCTCACATCTGATCACTGCAAATATATCCTTATCTTATCTGAATGATAAGCAGTTTTCTTCTTTACTGAAGGAGTTACGGTTTCGTGGGAAGCAAGGTATAATACTCCATCTCTGCTACGTTTTACTTGTTCTACAGTGACTGCATTAGTTTTCCATGAAGGAGGTGATTCACTCTGTCTCACTAGGCTCTGATACCCTCCGCTACAGAAATTGTCAGGCTAAATTTGCTTCTGTAATGAGACTCATGATTTTTGCATCTGTTTTTCAAGACTGCACTTTAATTGTGGTTATCAGCTCCTAAAGACAGACATTAGTCACCTAACACCAATACCCAGAGGAAAAATACGAGCCTGATATGAGGATAGATGTTTGTAATTACCCCACTGACAATGACTTTGTAAGCAAATTTTATCTTTGAGACTGTATTTCTTCAAATAAAAAATTAAATGATGCAATGAAGACAGCCTTATAAAGTTTATAATATATATGATAATTATATTTAAAACAGTCCAATATAGCTAATATCCAAAGATAATAAACAAATACTTACTTATCTATTGTTTTTCTTACCTGCAAAGTCCTCAGTCCTTACACATGAGATGAAATAACACACTATTCTTAATTCCATGACCATGTTATAATAAACAACAGTTACACTGGCCAGTCTAGCTACATAACAATCATAGAAAGTTTATTACTCGCCTTCTTTCTGATATTAAGGTCTCAGGATACAATGAAAGTATTTACCCTGATAAACATCTACTCATAAGTGATGGTTAGTGTTAATTGCCAACTTGACAATCTAGAGTCACCTAGGATACTGGCCTAAGGTGTGTTTGTGGGGGGTTATCTTGATTAATTAATTGAAGTAAGATGATATACCCATTATGGGTAGGATTATTGCCTGGGCAGAGAATCTTGGATTGTAAGAAACAGAGAGAACTAGCTGAACAATGACATGTATGCATTCATTACTGTTTCCAATTATGGATGTGCTATTACCAGCTCCATGAAGCCCTAGCTGCTGTGACTTTGCCCGCAATGATGGACTGTAACCGGAACTGTGAGCTAAAATGAATCCTCTCTTCTGTGTCAGCCTGCACAGTGCTTGTAATGCAGTTGTAAACCACCACATCAGGTTTACACTACTAGTTTAAAACTCAATCATATTTAAAACTATCCAAGATTGTATTTTAGAAAAAAAACAGTAACCATAGGGAGATACACTGCAATTATTATCTAATATTATTGCTAGCAGAAATTATTTGCAGAGTACCTACAAATGTTTGGCACAATGAAAATTATTTCATGTTCATTCTCATTTATCGTTCTAACTTCCTGAAGTAGTAGATATTATTATAGCCAGCTGAACGGATGTAAGAATTAGGCTAAAAACAAGTCATGGCTACTGATTTGGCAGAATGATCTGAATTCTTAATTATTGTGTTTACTTTGATTATTAGTTACTAACTCGTGTCCAATTAACTTCCCTTTGTATTGTTTTGTCTGCATTAGATGTATGTTAGATAACTCAATTAAAAACATAGTGAAAACCAGGAGGTGGTGGCACACACCTTTAATTCCAGCACTCAGGAGGCAACGGCAGGAGGATCTCTGTGAGTTTGAGGCCAGCCTAATCTACAGAACTAGTTCCAGGATAGCTAGGGCTACACAGAGAAACCTTGTCTGGAAACCCACTCCCTACCGCCCCCCCCCAAAAAAAAGAAATCAACAAATGGCATTCATGTGAAGTATATGATTTAATACACCCATAATTTTAATAACTCAGGTTTACTTTCAGACACACAGAAAAGAGGGAAATGCTAATTACTGATATAAACATTTTTCATTTATAACAGTTTAGAGAACGGAGTATACATTTATTTTACTATTTTGATTGGCTATTAAAATAATTGAGTATAAATCTTGCCAGTATCTATTATTTTGCGATGGAATTTGTATAAAATATACACTGATTCAAATAATTGTGAGAATTCTAAATGGTAAATTTCATTTGGAAATATAAATATAATATAATATTTAATGTCCAAGTGCTTGACATATTTGTTGAAGGTGAAATTTTTTATTACATTTATTTGTAAGTATATGAGTACATGCACACACACAAACACACACACACACATTTGTATACCATGGTAAGCATGTGGAATTCAGAGGACAACTTTTGGAAGTTTGTATTTTTTTTCCACCATGGCTCAAGATCAATTTGTCAGGCTTTCTGGAAACCATCTTTACCCACTGAGTAATTTTACTGGGCCCTGAGCTAGAAATTCTATACTTCTACTTATAGTAGTACATCATTAAAATATAAAGTACAATTAACCATGGATAACTCTGAAAGAATAAAGTTTAGGAATAAAATTTAAACTGGGATTTAAAAGTTTTATTTCATATACATGTTCCATAACACTGGAAGAATTTATTTATACGAGTAAAGACAAGTGAAAGACAATTTTAACTTAAAAACTAATGTAATAGAATAATAAATTTCAATGTGATGTCAAAATTCTATCTATGTCCAGAAAGGACTGTTTCAAATTTCTTCAGAAATGGAAGAATGGATGAAGAAAGTGTGGAATATCTACACATTAGAGTACTACTCAGCGGTAAAAAACAATGACATCTTGAATTTTGCATGGAAATGGATGGAAATAGAAAACACTATCCTGAGTGAGGTAACCCAGACCCAAAAAGATGAATATGGTATCTATTCACTCATTAGTGCATTCTAGCCATAAACAACGGACATTGAGCCTATAGTTTACGATCCTAGAGAAGCTGAGTAATAAGGTGAACCCAAAGAAAAACATATACAGATTGCCGGGCAAAAGTTGGGAGCATGGGGGTGTGGGTGGAGTGAGGGAAGGGGAGAGGGGGAGAGAGAAGGGGGAATGTGAGGGTTGGGGAGAGCTTAGGGGAGTGGGATGGTTGAGATGGAGAAAGGACGGATATGGAAGCAGGGAAGAAGATATCTTAATTAAGGGAGCCATTTTGGGGTTGGCAAGAGGCTTGGCTCTAGAAGGGTTCCCAGGTGTCGAAGGGGACTCTGAGCAGCGGAGAAGAGGATGCCTGAACTGGCCTTGTCCCGTAGTCAGACTGATGACTTTCTTGAGTATCTCCATAGAACCTTCCTCCAGCAACAGATGGAGACAGAGACCCACATCAGAGCACCGGACTGAGCTCTCAAGGTCCAGTTGAAGAGGAAAAGGAGGGAGAATATGAGCAAGGAAGTCAGGACCACTAGGGGTTTGTCCACCCACTGAGACAGTGTGCCTGAGCTAATGGGAGCCCACCAAATCCAGTTGGACTGGGACTGAACGAGCATGGGATCAAATCGGACTCTCTGAATGTAGTTGACAATTGGGGCAGACTGAGAAGCCAATGAAAATGGCACTGGAATTTGTCTCTGCTGCATGTACTGGCTTTTTGGGATCCTATTCTCTTTGCATGCATACCTTCCTAAGCCTGGATGGAGGGGGGAGGGCCTTGGACTTCCCACAGGGCAGGGTACCCTGCACTCTCCTAGGACTGGAGGGGGAGGGAGGAAGAGTGAGTGGGGAAGGGAGAGGGAAGTGGGAGGAGGGGAGGTAGTGGAAATTTTGATTGGTATTATTTATAAAGTAATAAAAATTAATCTGCTGGGAAAAAAAGAAATGAACTACAGATACAAGCAAATAAAAGACTTGTAAACTCATTCCTCTAAAGCCCCCAAACCCTTTTGTAATTTCTTTATGTTTCAAAATATGGTAGTGGAGAGAAAAGCTCAACAAGATTAAATGAATCTATCCTGACCACAATCATGCTGACATTAAAGCCATTCATATACTCAACAATCACAGAGAATATGCTATGTGAATTAAAGGCCAAATACAATGCTTATGGATTCCACAGCTTGGAGTAGTGTTTCTGGTAATTTATTTGGCGTTGTAACCTTAGCATCACAAACATTAAGCATGTTATACTGTAGCTCCCAAAAACAGAGAAATAATAACCCCTAAGACCTTGTGAGTTAAAAATACTAATTCACAACTCACAGCAATCAAATCAACTTACCTTCTAAATTCTTACACTGAAATGTATAGGTCCTGACAATTATTGATAGCATCTACTCTGTCACTAAGGCTTCTAATTGTTGAAATCCTCATG